ATGATCACAAGAACGGTGAGCAAAAATCCCAGAACCACACGAGGGGACCTAGTCAATGACCTGCAGAGAGCTGGGACCAAAGTAACAAAGGCTACCATCAGTAACACACTACGCCGCCAGGGACTCAAATCCTGCAGTGCCAGACGTGTCCCCCTGCTTAAGCCAGTACATGTCCAGGCCCGTCTGAAGTTTGCTAGAGAGCATTTAGATGATCCAGAAGAGGATTGGGAGAATGTCATATGGTCAGATGAAACCAAAATAGAACTTTTTGGTAAAAACTCAACTAGACGTGTTTGGAGGAGAAAGAATGCTGAGTTGCATCCAAAGAACACCATACCTACTGTGAAACATGGGGGTGGAAACATCATGCTTTGGTGCTGTTTTTCTGCAAAGGGACCAGGAAGACTGATCCGTGTAAAGGAAAGAATGAATGGGGCCATGTATCGTGAGATTTTGAGTGACAGCCTCCTTCCATCAGCAAGGGCATTGAAGGTGAAACGTGGCTGGGTCTTTCAGCATGACAATGATCGAAAATATTTCCAATTACCCAAGAGGGGCCTCAGTGAAAAATGTTGGGAACCACTGTCTTATCACGTACAATGTGTTGGAGTGCTAGCCAATATAATAGAAGCGCTAGTGTTACGTGACAACACTGTAGAGGCGTTTCAGGCAGAGAGAAACGATATAGAACACACTACAGGAAAGGTAAAACCCTAATAAGCGCAATAGGGCCTCTTTAAATGTTAAGATGTAGGGTGGAAGGCGCAGCAGCGTTAGTTGTAAATTGTCGCCTGTATATTAATATTGTTTTTCTGTGTTTGTGCGTTTCAGGCAAAATGTTCCCAACTATCGGTGACGTCCACCTGGCCCCCTTCACAGATGAGCAGCTCTACATGGAGCAGTTCACAAAGGCCAACTTCTGGTGAGCAGGGGGCGGCCACAGTTGAAGGGACAATCGTCAGTTTTAGTTTAAATCAGTTTTTTTTTGTGTTTTAAGTTAATGGTCGAGCACAGTGTCAAGATGCTTAAAATGATCACTGCAGTTTAGTTGACCCTAAACTCCTAAAGACAGTCAATGTTTTAAAGGTTCCATACGTTGCATTGGTGTTTTCAGTGAATTTGGCTGATTAGACTGTCATGTTTACACTGTTTTTGAATATCTCCTGTTACCTTTTTTGTACAAGTACACCTTCATCATCAAGTGGTGCAGGTCAAGCTGACCTTGAAGTTAGCATTTCAAGGACTCCCTATAAATGAAATGCATCATGGTCGCATGCAATAAGGTCACTCACTTTTTAGCACTCATTCCTGCAACACTATTATTATGAGTAGATAAAGATTTGTCACCTCATAATTTCTATGTAAAGCTCCGACACACCTTTTAACCTTAGTAGAGGTCTAATCTGCCAGAATAGCTGAAGCTTTAGAAGCTTTTTTCATAATCAAGCCTTCATTGTCTTAGGGTTAGCACCAATGAAAACGTCCCATACTGATCGAACTGATGTGTCTCTTTCAGGTACCAGCCCTCCTTCCACGGTGTAGACCTCTCTGCCCTGCGGGCGGCAGCGGTGGATGAGTATTTCCGCCAGCCAATTGTGGTACGTAATCCAACACACAAATACACACACACACACACAGATAGATATTTTTACACAATATCACAGTTGTGTGAAACAGGAGTTGTTTTTGTTGTGTTTCCTCCACAGGACACATTTGATATCCGTATCTTGATGGCCAAGTCAGTCAAATACACAGTCAACTTCCTGGAGGCCAAAGAAGAGGATCTTTACAGGTGTGTGTCTGTACTCTGTATGTGTACTGTATGTTTCTGTGGTGTGTCATTAACCTGCCTCTCTCTGCTCTCAGGATAGAGATTCCCTTTAAGTTCCACATGATGCACTCTGGTCTGGTGCACGGCCTGGCCTTCTGGTTTGACGTTGCGTTTGTGGGCTCATCGTAAGTCACAGTTCCACTCATGCTGCATGTGTGTTGAATAATTCCCCCCACTAACCTGCCCTCATGTCTGTGCAGGATGACGGTTTGGCTGTCCACGGCCCCCACAGAGCCCCTCACCCACTGGTACCAGGTGCGCTGTCTGCTGCAGTCCCCCCTCTTCACCAAGGCCGGAGACACGCTGTCCGGCACCGCCGTGCTGATGGCCAACAAGAGGTACGACGCTAAACGCTATGTTCTCTAGCATGTTGGTTCACCGGGGCTGGGCCATATGGCCTATAAATAATCTCTCAAAGTACTCATTGGCACATATAGAAAAAGAGCTAACAAAACAAATCATTCAAAGTTAAATGAATCATTGCATTGATGAGTGTCGTGGTGTTGTTGTCCTGCATGTCATATCCTGCCTCACAGCGCACATTTATTGTCAGTAAAGAGAGACCTAAACCAAATTTATTATCTAAATTAGCATGTTTTAAATCCAAGTGTAATTCACAAAATAAATTAAAGTTATTTTCATCTAAAGCAGGGGTGGGGAACCTTTTTCCTCTCAAGGGCCATTTCGATTTTTACAACATCCTCCGAGGGCCGTACAAATTATTGAACTCAACCTCTGCTTAAAAATACTAAAATCACAGCCCATTCATTTGGCCTTTCTTTCATGCTGTGCAAAGAAAAAGCAACCTCTTAATCCAGATATCTCACCATGACTCGCGCATGCATGCACGTGCACGGTTGTGGCATGACCACCCAAACAGAAAGATATGGACACAAGAGGTGTGCAAATGTATTTAGTTTCCTATCCATGTGAACATGATTTAAGTGGGGGGAGGGACCTAACCTCCTCTAGGGCAGGGGTTCTCAAACTTTTTGTTTATGCGGACCACTATCTATTATCAAGGATTTTCGCGGACCACCTCATATGCAAACCGTAAAAATAATTACATGTATAAACATAGTGCCAGATTCCAAGCTGGTTTTAGGCTCTCGTTAGCCAGTGTCTCGTAGCACAGAATGCATACTGGCAAAGGCTCATCTTCAGTGCCTGTGTAGGTAAATCCGAGTTCCAAGTAGTTCCTATTGTATTTTCTCTTAATCTTCCCTTTTCTTTTTCTGCGGTATCTGGTTTGTAGATGCCTCCGACTCACTCATTATCTTCATTAACGGTAACCTATTTTCTCTTCAGTGAACCTGATGCTAGCCACAGATCCATGTTTGTGGTTTTGCATGCGCATATGTAACCATGGGTAACCAGTGGTGAAATTAAGTGTTGTCCATAATTAAGAATAACAAATATCTGCGTTTTGACACTACGTTTATATATGTACTTATTTTTATAGTTTGCATATGAGGTGTTCTGCGAAAATCCTTGATAGTACTGTGGGGAGGCAGGAGAGGCATGGTGGACCACGCGAGGCGCCTCCCATGACGTGCCACCAGTCGACTTGTCTTTAGATTGGATGANCTTTGTTACTTTGGTCCCAGCTCTCTGCAGGTCATTGACTAGGTCCCCTCGTGTGGTTCTGGGATTTTTGCTCACCGTTCTTGTGAATGATCACAAGAACGGTGAGCAAAAATCCCAGAACCACACGAGGGGACCTAGTCAATGACCTGCAGAGAGCTGGGACCAAAGTAACAAAG